TTCTCTCACCTTAAGGCAGCACATGATAATATCAGGAGTGCGAGACCCGGGATTTAAACCCGCTACACTTAGTTTCCCAAGCAAGCGCCTTACCACTGTTGCACCACTGCCTAAAAACAGATTTAACATTTTTTTTATAATAATAAAATTGCCTACTTCTCTAAATAAAACTATCTTTTCGGATTATTTCGCGGATTTATTTTGATTTTTGGTTCCCGACGTTTCGAATGCTTTCAGCAATCCATGGATAACTAAATGAGAGACTGAGGTGTTACATACATCTCGTAAAGAAATAGTTAACGTTCAACGTACCACAATTAACAAAATGAAAATTGCACCACATTACATTAACAATATTTTTAACTTTAAAACATTTTTATAATTTTAATTATAATTGAATAGGAAATTATTTTCTTAATTTTTGTCTATTATTTTTATAATTATTACGATTTTAGAAATATTCATAAAGCTGAAAATTTTTAATATGCTACAATCCTACCTATTTAGTTTTTGTTGCCATTATTATATTTATAACCGAGGTAAATAAAAAATATAAAAATATCACGTCCTTCAATGACCTAAAACCGAATAAAATATCCGTGCTTCAATTAAGTGTTATGTGAACTTATATTTCAAATATTTTTATATTAGCTTTTCAAACTTATTTATAAAGCAAGTATCGTCCCCTAAAGATGAATATGGCAGTCTTTGAAAGACTTTAATTTAGAAAAGTATATTTGAAAACTTTTGAAATTCAGGTATATCTATAATGTTGTTTATTTCGTTTATGTGAAATTATAAACAAATCTATCCCACGGGACATTTTTCCGGGACAAATAGTGTCTATGTACTATTCCAGACTATAATCTATGTTAAATTTCATCCAGAACAATTATATCGGCCTGATTAATAATCCATCCATCCATCATCCAACTTTCGCTTTATATTTTTTATTGATATGGATATAAAAGTCATGTAAATTTAGCGGAAAAATCGCGTAAAACTAAAAAAAAACTAATATTAGTGAGGATTTTGTATTATTAAATTTTATTTTAAAATTTGTAATAATTATAAAAAAATAGCAAAAGATGTGCTGTAATAAAGTAATAATCTTAGTTCTATTTAATTATGAATTAAAATTATAAAAAAATGTTTAAAGTTAAAAAATATTGTAATGTTTTGGTGCAAATTTTCATTTTTTAATTGTGGGTAAAAAGTAAGTAATTCCTTAAAACAACTATATCTTATAAAAAATGTAACACCTTTCTCTCCGTGACCAAATATTCTGTAAAGCATTCGAAACGCGGGAACCCAAAAATCAAAATAAATCCGCGAAATAATCCGAAAAGATAGTTTTATTTAAAAATGTCAAACATTCGCGTAAATCTAAGAAAGTATTATGCCTACTTCTCATCAGAACTAGGTACATGAAAACGATTATAGCTGTATAGAGTTATACATCTACAATTACCGATAATATAACTAAATTGAAAGATCTTCTTCTTTGTCCTCGCCTTTGTATTACGCTTCAGCTCCTTTCTTCTTATCATGCGACGCCACGTGAACACGGGTTCGCGTCCCTTCAATACGAGGAGGATCAGGCCATTTCAAGTCCACTCTGGCCAAGTCGCAGATTGGTGGTCTTCCCCTTTTGAAAACTCTAGATTCTTGTTGCAGTGAAAGGCACTATTAATTATCTGGTACCACGTAATCGTTGGGCCTGAACATTACTTGTCCCATACCATCTGATTGATTTAATTATTATTCGGTTATGGGTGCAACCCTTTATAAACTTCTCTTAAGCTTTCGTCTCGTTCTTTGTCTTTTAATTTAAAATACAATAGCCCATTATAATACTGTTACGCATTTCGGATCTTGTAGCTGCAGTCTGTTCATGAATCTTGTTGGTTGCTTCCAAACCTCGCTGCCCTTACAGATGTTTATTTTGTCTATAGATCTGGCCGTTTTATTACATCGTTTCCTTTAGTTTTATATAATGGCATTTTTAGCGTCACATAGAATAAAACGACCTCACAAATCATACACAATGTAAGTGCGCCACTTTTACAATTGTTCCATCCCGATGTCATTCTTAACAGTTCTTAATTCCGCTTCGATAGACACCATCTCCGATAGACGGATCCTAGATACTTGAATGTTTTAACTCTAGGGAATGTCCGTCTCACTCACAGTGTGATGCCCGAGTCACTAGCGCCCGGGGTTGTGTCAGAGTGTACAGAACAATATACTCGGTTTTTTGTCCTGCTAATGCGTAAGCCATTTTGTTCCAGCGACTCGCTGTTCTCCAGTTTCTCTAAGTAAACATCATGTAGCTTTAGCACACTGACTCAGATATAAGTAACTACGTCGTCCGCATACAAGAGATTCCACGGAGTTGGTTTTTGAATTTTGCCGTCAGATAGTTTTCACCTACATTAAATAGCAGACCGGATAACTGAACTACTGCCCTTGATGAACGCCAACTTTTATCGTCAAAGGCTGTCAGATAGACCTGCTGAGCTCCTGACCAGGCTTGGACGTTGTTGTAACATGTCCTTAAGAGGCGTATATCAGTGTTCAGGTATGTTATGCGCCCCTAAGTGCCTGCCATATCACAGTCCTTGGTAACCGTCTCCAGTCAAAAAGCCTCTACTACAGTCTGTCTTAGAAATACCATCCCGCAGGTTTTGGTCAGTTCTAACGCCCAGACACTTCCATTACTTACCAGTCTTACAGCATGGATGCATCCATGGTTCCCATATATTAAGAACCAAACTGACAGGGAGTAACATTAAAGATGCTAAGGCGTTCACTGAGCACTCGTTCCCAGTTTTAAGGGTGTTTGAAGTGAGTTTTCATCCCCCGAGAGGGTTCCCCGAACTAGCTAACGTCTCCCTTATTTTTGTAAAAGGGGTACAAGTATGCTTTTTCTCCAAGCATCTGGCATTTCTCTTCAGCTGTTAAGATGTATTAAACAAATAGTTAGCCATATTTTGTCCGTCCACCTTCAAGGACTTCCACGTTTCAGCTGGAATGTCATCAGGCCCGCAATTTGTGATTTTTCATTTTCAGAATAGCCTTTTCGACTCATACCGTTATGGTGATTTACTCGCGATTTACGGGTTCCTTTTTTCTTTGCAGTTTCGTTCGATTTCAGCCCTTTTCTAAAGACGAACTCCTCATTGAGCATGTATGGTTTTACTCGTTGCACCTTTTACAAATACCGCTTTATGAACGTATAGTATCAGCAGTGGCAGTTTTTTCAATGTTTTTGAAGATGCTCCTGACTTTGTTTAAGTCCTAGACGAGATTCGGGCTCTGAGTGCGGTAATATGCTAGACATTCCCTAGTATATATCTGTGTGTATGAAGCTAGTTCTAGTTGCCGGTTATAAAGCGTCAAGGTCTCATGTTCCTTCTCAATCGCACTGATCTTCTTGCATCTTTTTTAGCCTGTTTGTACTCTACCTTATCCAAGTCCTCATCAGCCACTCACTTGGCCATTTCTGCACAGGCGTTTCTTTTCAGACACTGGTGAAGCTCCATTTGATCGTGTTGTTAAAGTCTGCGCTTAATAACACCATTTGGCATCAGCAATAATCTCGTTTTGCAGGGCACCTTGGAGATACAGTGTAGATTTCCGCTTGAGCAATACAGGCATCCTGATACTCATTTAGGACCAGATTATTGTAGGAGAGTCGATTATGATGAGGAGTCGTTGCTCAAGTACTCTATACTCTTTCCACTGAAATTGTTTCCCTTTTCCGATGTTCCTGCCATTTAATCTATCTATTCTTGGTGTTTGCTACTTTCGGTATTTGTCGTTTGAGTTGTTAAAGCTGCTAAACAACCCTTTGAGGCTTTGCAAACTATTAAAGATTCAATATAACTTTACGAACTTGCTTATGTCTGTGGAAACCAATATTCTTTCTATCTGTCCTTATATAGTCGATTTGCTTGTTTGTATGCACATGATTTCCCACTTTTATAACTAAGTACGACTGGGTGTTCACTCTTTCTTTTGAAAAAATGTGTTTACTATTGCTAGATTTAGAGACGCTGCAAATTCCAATATTGTGCTGGTTCCTTCTTTGTTCGTGTTTCCATACCCATAAACCCCCGTGATGGCCCTCAAACCCTATGCTACGCACTGCCCACATGCTACATTAAGATCTCCGCACATAATTCGTTGCTCAGGTCACAGGTATAGCATTCATGTGTACACAGTTCTTCCCAAGAAGTCCTTGTTTTCTCTGTTTTCAGGGGCAGCCGACTCTGGGCGCGTAGACACAAACAATATTGAGCAGGTTTGGTTCAAGGCTAGTTCCACACCGATGATGCGGTCACTCGCTCTATTCGATTTCTATTACGCTTTTGGCTCAGATGTTGATCTAGTAATAATCCCGACCATTTTTTGCGAAAATTTTTCTACAGCTCGTAGTATATGAGTTTCAACAGCCCTTCCACTCGATTTGTCGTGATTTTCGCACCCTTCCATGTGTCTGTTGTTCTGCGGCACACATACAGATAACATGATGGCGACGTTCGTTCTTTGAATGAGTATTCGCGCCATATCCTTCCCGAACTGCGTCAGTGTCAGTTCTATTGGTTCCAGCTATCAAAAATAAAAACGTAGTTCTGTAGTATAAGTATATCAACAATCTTGTTTGTGAATCTCACTGTGTGTCTCTGACTTTAATTGGGGGACGCCCTTTTAGCATAATTTCGCAAGGGTTCCATCATCTCCGACGGAATCGCTTAAAGTAGGACGCAAGCCCCAGTATTGCCTCGTGTTCCTTAGGTGTTGTCTTTTGCATGATAGCTTGCACTTTTGTAGGATTTTGGAGTTCTGTTTTATTACAGCCGGTTGCCACCTGACGCCAAGGATGTCCCACTACGGGGCTTAACAGAAAGCCCGCGTCAGAAAGTCCGCTTTTAGCGTGGAATCTCCGCCGCCATCCCTACCGAGTACTCATCCTGAAGACATCGTCCAGTAGGCTAATGCCACGTAGTCTCTACTTCGATTATGTCGAATTAAGCCTGCGTGTGGGTTTTGATAACGGAGAATCCATCTGCCTTGTGGTCCGCGGAATGGTATTTATTTCCCCCTACTGGCCTATGGAGGCATTGACCCCGTTCGTGCATCCCTCCTATCCGCCACCTGGGGACGCGTCCTCTAGGGAATCAGGCTACCCCGGTGATATCTAATGAAAAGATATAAAATGAAATCTATCATAGACTCGTCAAGTTCTTGGGCAATGGGTAATGTTTCGGGTCGTGTCAATTAGAATTGAGCTCCCGATAATACTAAGGCACATTCTATCTGTATTATCCTTCTGATTATCTTGACCAACAAAATCGGGCTAGCGAAGAGAGTTTTCTCTAATGACACCTTTGTCTAAAGAGCTTCACAGTGCTTGTCTTGTCCTCTTTACATAGTGGGTCACGATCGTTACGTACCAATGTAGAACAATGAATGGCTTTCATAAAGCTGAAATTTTTTAATATGCTATAATCCTACCTATTCGGTTTTTGCTTAATATTTACTTATTTCTCTTCAATTTGAGGTAAAAATATACAGTTGTGGAATCACGTCCTTCAATGAGCTAAAACCGAATAAAATATCCGTGCTTCAATTAAATATTAAGTGAACTTACATTTCAAATATTTTTATATTAGCTTTTCAAACTTATTTATAAAGGAAGAATCGTTCCCCTAAAGATGAATATGGTAGTCTTTGAAAGACTTTAATTTAGAAAAGTATATTTGAAAACTTTTGAAGTTCAGATATACATTTTACATGTTGTCTCTATTTTCGTTTATGTTAAAAATATACCAAATTATTTTCAATCTATCCCACGGGACATTTTTCCGGGACAAATAGTGTCTATGTACTATTCCACACTATAATCTATGTTTGTGCGAAATTACATCCAAATCGGTTCATTGATCGGCCTGATTGAGTAACAAACATCCATCCATCCAAACTTTCGCATTTATATAGTAGTAATAATGGATATCCTTGTTTTCTGCGGCATGTTGACGCGAGGTGCGTAAAAACTGTCCACATACATAGCACGTAATCAACTCGCGTCTTTGTATTTATAACGATTGTGAGGATGTATTATATAAAATTTTTCTACGAACTAGGGTTCTTCTCGCTTTTTACACGAGGAAAACAGCTAATAGCTCTATGTGCTGAAATACGCAAGTATCTCCCGTAAGCGATTCATTAAATCTTAGTTATTATTTAATCGTTGGACATGATTAACCATGATTATCCAAAAAGCCTTTATCTATAAACATAGCAAGTATAAAGTACAATATAAAATGTAATGTTTTGATAAATTCTTATTTTTTAATAAAAGTAAGAATGAGCTCCTTACGAAACACTTTCCTTATTGACTCAAAAAAGACTGACGCTACAAATATTCTGTGATTATGTCTTCAGCCATCTCCGTACGGGGAATGCGTTCTATAATGCTCATAGTCGTATCGCCGCCTCACATGCGAATTCAATTTTAGGCCTATTTTCGAAGCACTTCATCGAATATAATCCTGTGGTAACATAGTAGGACAAAAATATGAGACAAGAGGTAAAGATTTCTTATATGTGCAACCATGTTAGTGAGATGGTTGTAGTATGGTAACAAGAAGCGGCCCGTCCCTTTTACTAAGGAGCTATGTGTAGCACCAAGGGCTATAAGCTAATTTTCCGCACCTTTCGATTTTGCTATCAACAATATTCTTTTACTGAAAAAACCAACCTTAACACAATCAGGGTCAACTACTTGCTGTGAGCGGTTACGCGTAGGTTCAAGCCTCGCATGAGTAGCGCTAATACACTTGTTAGTGAAGCATTTCCATATTCTGTAGAACTCCAGGTTCCTGCGATGACGTCGACGCTTTATAATACTTATGTATTTAAAGTTATATATGTGTAATATATCAACTATCTGGTATCCATAACACAAGGCTCATAGCGTACCATAGAACTAGATGGTGTTGTGTGTTAATGTCCCAACATATTTATTTATTATTATGTGGGTAGACGTGAGTTGACGGACGAGAGAATAAAAACGACGCTTTCATAATACATCTTCTTAAGCTTTCGTCTCTTCTTTCTTCTTTTAAATTAAAAATACAATATCAATTATAATACTGTTTAGATATAATTAGATCTTGTAGCTGCAGTCGAATGACGAAAAGTAATGTCCGTCTCGACTCACACGCTAATGCTCACTAGCGCCCGGGGTTGTGTCAGAGTGTCGAAACGTCACTCTCAAAAATGTCAATGCGCCGTCAGATCTATTTACTATGTGTTTGTTTGTTCATAATACTCTTTGTTGTTTATTTTATTAATAAGCTTTAATTAATTTTCTGGTACAATTTCGGCGTTTTTTTATTTTATTTGCTTAATTAGGAAATATGGGCTTGATTTTAACATATGTAAAAGGGATTTATTTAACTACATGTATTATTATTATAAAAAGAGAAATTT